TTACGAACTGAACCCGGAGCTGCTGCAGTATTTTGTCACGGAGGTTGTCGGAGGACAGTGACTGACTGGAGCAACGTGGAGGTTCACGACGATTTTACCCTCTAACACGTTGTTGTTGCAGCCCAACTCGTGGTTTTTGAAATGTAATTGTCTCATATTTGTTCAATGTGACTGAGCACAGCTACACACCGTGCGTGGCTCCAGTGGCCACAAACACTGAACATCTCATCAAGGCATAATACTAATGCATCAGTGCCGACGCTGTAGTCTTTGGACAGATATTCTTTTTTAGCCAAATCAAAGCATCAGGGTTTGGTCGTTTGTGCCACGTATGGCAGTTTGAGGCAGAGTCTTGGGCCTCCTCCGCTGGCACAAGGTGCTTTTACTGTCACATCTGTCATTTCTGTCTCATCGTCTCTACCCTCCACAGGGGTTTTCTACCAGGGGATGACAAAGACCCGTGTGTCGCTTAATTTTTCCATTTTCATTTAACTGAAATTGAAATAACTATTGCAAGACTTCCTGTGCGTTTAATGGTTCAAGTGGAAACATAAGCAGATGCGTGTTAGTGACCAGAGCATGCTCAGAAAATAGAATGGATTTTATTTATTTGACGTCTTTGATTCTGGTTATTGGACGATGGTTTCATTTGAATTATCATTCATTTAGTCAACATTTACAGTGAGTTGTAGCCAATGTGTCGCGCAATCAACAATCAAAAAGGCCGTTTCCACTGTTTCCTTTTCCCTGTTAATTAAATGAAATTACACTACATCCTTATGACAGTTATCTTTTTTTTTACACAAACAAAAACATGTCCTAAAAAGAAAAGCAGAGATCACGTAGAAATGCCAACAGCCTCTTTCCTGAAGCTGACTTTTCATACACACCCCTGAGCTGCATCAGAACATGCCAGACTTTTCTGTCAGATGAGTTTTTCCCCCTCACTGTTGCTGAAGCTTGTAGTGGCCATGCTCCACAGGGGGCTGCTGCACACAGGCCACGGCCCAGAGTTATTTCTGCCAGGTGAAATGCTGGCTTTGTTTTTGGTCTCCGGGTTTGTTTTTATAGCAACTGTCCGTAAACACGAGCACAAAGGTCTGTTGATATTTTAATTCTTACATTCATCTTAAAGAACAGTAGGTTAGTCTTTTAAATTGACAGGACTATTCATACATTTTCTCATATTTTCTGCGTAATCTGTAGTTGTTCGTGCTTTTCTTTTTTCATTTATTTATTTATTTGCTCGCCTGTTGGTTTTGTGTGTTTGTCTGATTGATCGATATTTATGAAAAGCTCTAAATAAAAACGGATAAATAGTATATGAGACGCTCCTGGACAAGAAGGTGTAAGAAACCAAAACTGAAGTTTTCACATTTTCTCTCTTTGGATTTCGGGGCTGTGATTGACAGAACGCCGCAGAGTTTTATTTTGAAGAGAAAGGAGAAAACGGAAGCCGCATCACACACCCATCTGACTGCGGTAATGCCGCGCGTGTATCCAGTGTTTCCTAATGTAAACCACTGCACACGAATAGTTTCTTATTCTTGTGACCTCTCCGTCTAAAATGAAGACAAGAGCTGTCAGTGAATATCGTTTTTTATTAGTTCTCCAATCATGTCTACACATCATTAGACAGGCTGGACATCTTAAAAACAACAGGGTTTCTAGAGGTCAAGCTTTTAACAGAGTGTTCATCTCAATGCGCAAATTTGCAGCCAACGAAATAAACGAAATATCATGAAGGTAAAATGCATTAGGCCGAAGAAGAAGCGCTGATTTCGGCTTGCACACCCTGTGGCGGAACATTTATGTGTAGATTGAACAAATGGATCCGTTCCTGGGTGTTGCAGATTGTGAAAGGTCAGATCGCTGCATTCAGGGTCCAGAACTGACCACGACACCGCAGAACCTTAGGAACGGCCACAGCTCCACCCAGCGGACACAGTCGGTAACTGCAGGAACAACAATTCAGCATTTGGGTCCTGGTGTTGCGGCTTTATGCTCATCCACAGGCGTCGCTTTGTGACAAAAACAAAGCAAACGAGCAAACAGAAAAAGCAGGATGAGCGTGTTGATGGATTTCTGATCATTCCCACAATGGTTTCACGTTAAATTGTCCATTTAGAGACAGGACAGATGATATCTTATGTTACTGTATTCTCAGAAACCAAACTAAACCCCCCAGTAGGCTACAGCCTCCAGCTACTAGGTCCAGGAGGCTTAGCACACGTTCTAAACAATCACTTTGCACGTTATCACCAACATGTTTTAAGTATAGGCTACTGTGTTTTTACACTGTGGACGCATATTATTAGCAGAAATGAAGCAGAAACATGTCCGGTCTATTTATTTTCTGCAGCGCAGTAATTATTCCCTTTGTGTTGACTGTTAATGCGGTTGTCTGTTCATCAGTGGCACCGGTTACGTGCTTTCTTTCTTTTTTTACCAGAACGTTTTGTCTTCGTTCAGTTTGCAATGTTCCCAAACCAATTTACACTAACAGTAATACAGCTGCAAATAGTTTAGATTTGTATTAAATGTTATTGTAACAGTGCTTCTGGTAATTTGTGGTACTAAGTATGTAAGTCAGTTTTTTAAATTTGGCCTTTAGTTGGTGCACAGAGGTGTTATAATACTGCCTAGAGGCAGTCGGGGCTTCACCAGGCTCTTACAGCCAGTCTGACTCTAAGAAACAACACCAAATCCGGACTCTACCGCTTTTCAGGCATTGTTCCCCGTCGGAATCCCCTGCGTTTTGTGGTCTCCCGTCTGTAGAAATGTGATTGAGGCTGTCTGGGCTCATCCACAGACAATGACTTTAACATTTAGAAGGACAGTTGAGGCTCCCAGGCAGGAAAGGGCTGTCCAATAAAACCATATAGTCACGATGCCTGTCTGGGCTAAATTACTTTATGGTACATCTCTCTGCGTGCGCGTCTCTGTCTTGAGTGGAGGGAAAGTCACGTTTATTTTCCAAATGCATGCTGTTGGTTTATGACCCTGCAGTATGAGCGTTGTGTAGATTATATGGCAGCAATAAATGCGGGAAGCTACGAGGCGCTGCACTGACTTTGACAAAACAAAGAGGCAGAAATGTCTCTGTGGACCGCAACTCACGCCACATACCTGAGAGCGTGAAACACCTTGACGTTGGAATAATATATAGGCTGCACGATAAAGCACAATAAATCTTGTTATTGTCCTAATCCAATAAAACTGCTTGTTTTTCTCTTGTAAGATCAGACAGATTGTATGAGGAAAAGCTCATTGTGTTACTGGATTCTAACCGTTTCACACAAAGTATTCTGGCAAAAATATAAATAACAATACAACTGTATTTTTAAATCATTTTATAACAATCTAATCCAACTACTGCACGTAAGGAATTATTATTAGTAGGAGTGATCGTATAGTGGCGTTAATAGAAATATGATGTAGACTAAATGAGCAGCCCCTCATTTAAAATCTCAAGATTTCGCCTGAGAGAAAAAGAAAAACAACACGTGATGTTAAAGTGGTGTAATCCATCTTTAATGTCGTTTTTAAAAATCACCACGAGCAGCATATTTAGCCTAAATGAGCGGATGAAGGCCTTATTTCTTAGCATGTTGACTCCAGTTCCATCACGGCGCAGGCCTGTAGGCTAACGTAGCCTGTTGTGTTGCCTTTTCTCCCAGAGAGAAGCTCTTCTTTCTGAGTCCTTCTCACCCCCGTGGGAAAAAACAAACCTCTGATATCCCTGTAATGTCCCCTAATACTTGAACGTGATGGTATGTTTACATCCCAAAAGGAAAGCAGGTTGTGCGTTGTTTCTGTGAGTGTGTGTCTTTGTGAAACGACTGAGCTTTGCATCCTTACTGGAGGTAACAGTGAGAACTGCTGTCACATCATAGCTTAGCCATGACTTGTGTGTGTGTGTGTGTGTGTGTGTGTGTGTGTGTAGGAATATGCATATATGACTATATCTGCGTATTAGACCCACAGTAGCAACAAATATACATAGCAACAATGACAATAGCAGCAACAACAATAACAACAAATACACATGCACGGTTTACAAAACCAAAACAAGGAAGCTCGTTGTATTTTCAGGAACAAATTGTCCTTTTTGAATTGTATTTTAGGGGAGACTGGGGTTGGCTGTAACACTGCTCACATGTCTATGTTCACCTGAAATTCATTTGTTTGGCAACTAGTACAGAACGAATGTGTTTCATACTGAGTTTACATCCGGAAGCTGTCAGGTTGTGCACAGACACAACACATGTTCTGCAGGTTGCAACAAGCCTCAAATTGTCCAACTTATGATTTGCTCATTTTGTTATATTTTTAGACCTGCATGGATGAAAATGAAATAATTAACTTTTCAAAATTAGTTTCTATTTAAATGCAGTACAGAAAATGTGGCAGAGCCTCCGCAGTGACTCCTGTGCGGTTATGTCTCATTGTTCTGGTGTGTGTGTGCACTTTATTGTTACTAAAGCCATTCATTTCTAGACAGTAGCCTGAGGTTTGTTGACACTTGTTCTGTGACAGCTCTGGTTTTCAACAACCTTAACAAAGACACGTGTGAATTTATGTGTGAGGATTTTAATACGTACACCTCAGATGTTTTCACACGTGAAACAACATCTAATAGGAAAACGTGGCTTTCACCTCAGCTTTTTATGGAAGAGTAAGAGTAATGGCATTTTTAATAAGAAGCAGTGGAGGTGTATAGCAGCAGAGACACGAAGTCTAGAAAGTGCTTTGTGTGTAAAGTGTTGTAAAGCAAGAATATGAACCAATTAAACCTTTAAAATAAAACCAACAAAGGGATCAGACAAGTACAAAAATTGCTCATATTGCATTTTACACCAGTTAACCAGTGAAACTCACCACTTCTCTCTAAATTAGTCCTAATCTCCATTAGTTTATCATAAAGCTTCTGTCTTTTTTTTACAAATATTTCATTTTACTTTCTGCTCTGACTTTCAGGACACACAGATAAGGGCTCAGAAATCAGATTCCTCATGAGATGAATCCATTATAGCTGCTGTGTAGTGCAGTCTCATCTGGTGTTTTTTCAACTGCAAATCATAAAACACAATTCGCATTTTGGCACAAAGTACAGACACTTTATGCGAAGTCAAGCATGTGTCAAGTGTTATACAACCCTATGTTTTGAAATGAGCCACAGCTTTGACATCAGCTAGTCTGTTTTCTGATGAAGTTCATGGATCTCCCTATTTGTGTTGGCGTTATTTACACCTACCCCAGGTTAGAGGTTCAGTTTGTAACATGCAGATGAAAGAATTCTACAGCAGAGTTCAGAAAACCTAACATGAACAGGACAAAAGACTGACAGAATATTTTTTAGTGTTACAACACATCCCGGTCTCCCCCGCAGTCTCCCCGCTGCAGCTTTCCGAGGCGGCCATGTTAGCCCCAGTCCATTGCTCAGTAACAGCTGATCACGCCAGCTTATGTTAAAGATGTTGCGCATCTTGGAGCACTGCGTTTCTTTTATCAGTTATAACCTCGCCATCTCCTCACCTGTCTTAGAAAAAAAAGCAGCCACCCTCTTAATCCATCATTCATTCATACTCCTCCTCTCCCGGATCATCAGCTTCTTCATCTTCATCCGTCTGTTCTGGAACCAGATTTTGACCTGTCTCTCTGTCAGATTTAAGAGCGCTGCCACCTCCAGACGCCGGTCCCTGGTCAGATACATGTTGTAGAGAAACTCCTTCTCCAGCTCCAGGGTCTGGTGTTTGGTGTATGGACACCTCTTCTTCCGGGTCGACTTGGCGTGGATCCAACTAGCTGATGGGTTTTCTGCAAAGGAAGACACAGGGCAGCATCAATTTCCACTTAAACCAAACCTACACAGTGCAAATTTACTTTTTAGTTGTGCGTGTGTGTGCGTGCATGCGTGTTCTGGACGAGGTTCAGAGATTGACATAAAAAGTCTAAGAACATATTCTCAGGAACAAACGTTACGAGTCTCCAACGTTTGGATCATTGGAAAGAGAAACGTTCAAAACGCAGCTCCAGCTCCACAGAATGGGGCCGTGTTCAATACTCTAATGTTTCCATGTGGCTCCTTTTATCAATGCAATGTCGCAAAAACAACAGCAGGTTGTTTATGCCCTCGTCTCGCCCTTTTTCATTTCAGTACTTTAACATAATGTGATATTATGTTCGTGGCCTGTGGTGTAGCTGTTACACCCTTTAAGCACCGGTAAACAAAGCAGAGTATGGCCTAACTGTGCATGTCTGTGTGCGCGCAGCCAGCCAAAGTGAGCCTCAGCTTTAGGAATATAACACTGCAGTTGGAAAGGGCTTTTTATCCACTGACTGATATGAAATGTTTTATTGGCCACTTTAAACTGTGAAGCAGCCACAGAGCGCTGTGAAATCCTATAGTTAGACATGGAGCCAGCAAGAGAGCAGCAACAAGTGTCTTTCTTTAGCTTTGGTTTGGTCCTGATGTACAATCAGCACGTTACAACACACAGGACATCAAGGCTCAGGTAGCTTCATCCTATCAAATTATTTATATGATGAACTGGGCTTAATTTTACCATTTATCTCTTATATGAATGCTAACTCTTCAGCTGCACTAAAAGCGTTTAAGAAAGTTTATATCCTGTTACACATTTAAACAATAAACCAATAGGCTACATTTACAAGGAAAGAAGAAAATATCAATTATCATTATTATTATTATTATTATTATTTATGTGACATTTCATTTCAGCTTTTAAAAATTCTTTTGTGGCTATTCAATAAGCAAAATTATGAAATGGTTAATTGTTATGCAGCTGCGTGCAAGTTATTTCTGTGCAAGTTGTGAACAGTGGCCTGAAGTGCCTTAACAATGAGGAACAGAAACAGTAGGGGAACAATAAAGAATCTTAATATTAATATTGTAGTATTACCAACATGTTGGCTGCTTCCACCGTTTATTGTAACATTACAGGAAAGCTCACAAATCAGATCAGATGCGCTGCGTTGTCCCAAACTGGTAAATAACATATAGCGCCTTAATTATTTTAATGGACAATAAAGTTTACAAGACATTTATAGGGCTATAAAAGTCACACACACACACACACACACACACTTAGAGGCCAAATTCTCCCTCTCTGTACACAGTCTCTCTCACACACACACACACACACACACACACACCTGTGTTTTGCCACTTTCTAGACTCTATAACATTCCAGGCCTCTATCTCTTTACCCGTGTCCGGCTGCTGCTGTGTTTTCCTCTCCTCGTCCTCTGTCTTGGACTCAGGTTTTCTTCCCAGGTCCTCCACGGTGCCAAGTCGTTCGAGGACCACCTCAGTCTGGCTGACGAAGCTGGAATCCCCGGGGCTGTCGTGTGACGGCGAAGAGCTCTCGGGTTTAACCGCCTCATACCTCGGGCTCGGATTGGAGAGGTCACCCTGAGCGGGGAGACACCCGGGAAAAGAAGCCGAGGCTTGTGACAGAGCGGTCTCTGAGCTGGGAGTCGCTCCCTCCCAGCAGCGGACGAACCTACTCTCCGAAGCGGTCGAGGACGCGAAGTGTTCCGCGTGGGTCTGCGCCTGCGGGCCGTAGTACGGATGGTGGTGGCTCAGGAGGTGATGTGGATGGAAAAGGCCGGGGATGGAGGCGCCGGAGGCGGACTGCAGCTGCGAAGCAGACGGTGAGGAGGGCGTGGAAGTGTTTGTCCACGGAGAAAAGCCGTTTAAGCTCGTTTGTTTGTTGGAAAAATTTGAAAAATCCGGAATGTGTGTGGAAGGAGTCCCCTCCTCCTCCTCCGCTCCCCGGGTTGGCTTGGCGCAGCCGGCCGTCGGACCCTGAAAGCCTCCCGGGATGAAATGTGCACCGTACGGCTCCTCGGTATGGAGCCCCATCATTGAATAATAATTCGTTAGCGACATGTTTATTTTATTATTTCAATAAAAATACACTTAAGTGCGACTGTAAAACGTTAGATGGGCTGGTATAGTGGCTTACATCCTCCCCTAAAATGGTAGTAATTTTTTTCCTAGCCTTACCTTCTTCTCGGCTGCCCATTGGTTACACTGTGGATCACATGGTTAGACTGTATTTACCCAGCATAGGAGATAAATCAAACCATTCTTTTGTGATCAGAATTGTGATTGTGGGCCTACCTGCCTGCTGCCAGATGAGCCTGAATGTAGCTGAGCTTTTTAAAACTGTGCACTTGAGCCACAGTTTACAAGCGGAATAAAAAGTAGCAGGGAGCCGTTTACAAGCTTGTTGGAAGTGTGTGAGTGTGTGTGTCAGGACTGAGAATGGCAGTATATAGGCTGGCCTACTGTGTGAGGTGTTTGTGCCAAAGCACTGTGGAGCTACAGAATAAATAACTTTTACAGTAATTAGCGGCCATCGACTGCGTGTGGCCTCAAAATGTAACGGGACTGTGATTAACAGAAGAAACATGGCATTTGACTTTTCTTCGTGGGGACAAATGATTTCCTTCATCTGTCCATCTTCCAAAAAACTTGTGTGCATCTTTGAAAACAGACGAACCCCCCACCCCCACCCACTTCGAAGTTCATGCGGCAGGTGAGCTTTCTTTTGCATATCCCGTCACCACCAGTCCAAATTACACGAACTGACATCGTCAGTGAACTGGTTCACTGGTCAAGTTAGCTTATGTTAGTTGATTTTCTTAAGCTGCCATTTGTTTCTCTTTTGGTTCGTTTCCATCTCTTGACTAGTTTATATAAAATGCTTTCGGCTGCTTGCGCAAAGGCGCATGTTTTGTGTTTCAGTGCCCAGTGAAAAGACGCACAACCATCCCCGTATTTGAGGGATTTAGTTTCTTACTGGTTGAAGTGGCTGCTCTGATTCTATCTAACCAGCCCACTGGTGTTGTTACCTGGGCGTTATTTCAAAAAGCAGTCAAGTTTATGTGGCTTCTGAAATGTTTGAAATAAAACAAAAGCATATTGCTAAAATTCTTATTTAAAGAGTTTCTCTGTTCACACTCTCCGTGTCCGTGTGTGACAGTGAACGTGTATTGGTTGAAGCAGGACTGTAACTTCAGGAGATAAACTCACACAGCCCTCGATCGCCCTTTCTTGTGCACATTTAGCGCCATCTGCTGCTTGGACGAGTAAAGCAGCGTACAAGTCCTTTACAGTGAAGGTTCCTACAACAGTAGTAAAAAGTAACTATTACTCGTGCACTATATTTAATTACACATTTGAGCTGTTTTACTTGAGTATTTCCATTTCATGCTAATTTATACTTTTGCTCTGTTCTGTTGCATGTGCTGATACTGTTTGGCATCTTATTTTCAACCCAGTCTCATACAGTCATTGACTTCTAAATATAAAGCTGTGCACAGTTCATTTTACTAACTAAGCTTATACAGTTTTATTTTATTTTATTTTATTTTATTTTTAAAATCTAAGAGTTCAACATCCCAACCTTTTTTCAATGCAGTTTGAGGGGTTTTCTAAAACGACTTTATTCAGTATGCGCTGCACACTCAGAGCAACCTAATGCAGTTTGGCACAGACTGAGCCACTCCACCCCTGCTATACACATGCACCCCCTTTTCTCCATGGCCATTCTGTAGAAACAGTTATACTCCTGGATGCTGCACACATAAGACACAGTAAAGTATAACTGCTATTGCTTTGCACATCTGGTTAGATACAAAAGCGTCTAACCAGATGTGCATCTGTTTTTGATACTTTAATTTTCCTGCCAACATTTTTGTTAACTTTAAGCTGTTGAATGTAGGACTTACTTGTAACGGTCTATTTATGACATTTTGGTACTTTTACTTAAATATTCAACTCAAAGTACTACTTCACATCACAGCACAGCCTTCATGTGGTTCTGTAGAAAACGATTTTAGAATATTTTTTTTATTAAATAATACACACATGCTGTGAGTGAGTTGATTCCAACATGGCAAGGAATAAAATCTGAGCAAAATCATTTAACCATTAATTGCTGTCATAATGTCCAATTAGCCACACAGTAGTCTACTCAGCTAAAACACTGTTCATTTTTCCAGAGGTTATGTGAAGCTACCTGCCTCTGTGAGTCTCTGGGTCGACAGCCGCTGCCCCAGAAGATCCAACTTTTCAGAAGAAAAATGTTTCATATTTAGGCTGCCAACTCAGAAGACCTCTGCTCTGTTTCAGCATGCAGGGCACTTTAATGCCTTTTTATTTAGCACACTGTCAAGTTAGTTTAGGCTCTGGCAACAGACTTTAGTAATAAAATGAAGAAACACATGAATCAGCACTTATAATTTAATTTAGCTGGGCTCTTTAGGATTCAGGCCAGCAGAGAGATGTTATCCGATGACTGAATGAAATCTGCTGCAGCGCTGTTTAGGTGGCAGGAACACCATCACTGCTGTGGTAGGGGTGGGGAGGTGGGAATGAACTCAGCCTACAGTAACAGAATCCTGGGTGTTTGCTGAGTAGCAGTCATGCACACTGCCATATAAATTTATATGACTTTATATGATTTATATAGACTATAAGCACTAATGGAAAGCTGCTGGCCAGCATCACTGCCATAAGATGGTGCCAACTGTTTTAGAGGTGATCATTAAGAAAATCTATTAGTAGTAGTAAAGTATTACTATTACTTTCCCTTCTTGTTGCACATGCGGTTTATATTGCTAGTTGTATTATTACTGCCAATAACTTTACTATTACATTACTACTTCTGTTTCCACTACTTTGCTATATTGTCTTTACTAATCACGTTACTGGTCACAATACCTTAAGTCTCTCTGTTTACCATTTATAAGCAGCATACAGACAGCGAATCAGTGGTTTATTACACACTGTAATATAGTGGAAGCAGCTACAGTATTTATTAGAGTATTTGACAATTATCCTAAAGAACCTATGATTATAACTGTGCTTTACTAGATAGCCACTAACCCCAGGAGGTGTTAGTTGTTGACATACAACACTCACATTTCCTTACAACCAAATATATTTACATAATGCGCATAAATGCTAAAATACAAGGTTTAAATTTGTTTCCCTTTCACTATATCTAACTCTAATATCAATATTGCAACTACAGCAGATGCTTTTACTGCTCCTGCAGCTACTAACTGCTGCTGGTGGTAGTTAAGTGTGTTAATACTGTTAGCAGTGGTGCAAAAACACTGCTGCGACTGCCAGAGTTTCTGTTACTGACAAAAATGGTACTACTGATGCTGATGCGACTTCCTATTACTCCTAATACTGCCTCTTCTATTACTTTTATCACTATCTGCACTATAGTAACAATACAAATGCTGTTTCTATTTCTTCTGCTAATTCTATTACTGGGCCTACTGTATTGTCTATTAGTCAACAACCATTACTACAGTAACCGTTTCTTTAAGACTGTAAAAATCTAAAGATGCAGTTAAAACAACACAATGCTTAGCAATAATGAAACACAGATGACAAATAAATCAGTTTGAAACATGTCTGTGTTACTTAAGAAAAGGCTCCACAGGCTCATAGTCAGGTTTATAGTGGGCCGTTAGGTCAAATGCTTTTAGTTCCAAGCAGAACCACAGTCTCTCCTTTTATCTCCTTATCTTTCTTTTGACGTCACCCACCGATACACACTCATGCACAGTCCCTGACACACACACACACACACACACACACACACAGTGAGTGAATGTTTCAGACAAAGAGAGAAGGTGACAGCAGACTGTTTGTATTGCCCCAGTAAAAGTCATTCAGTTGAGGAAATGGTGCCTGTCACCGTGTGTTTGGTTCGTTTGCGGTTCAAGGTTCATCAGCAGCCTTGGACTCGGTGTGTTTCTGCTGTCTGATCCCATGTTGTTCAAAGTCTGGGTCGGGGCCCACCGTGGAACAAAGAGAGAATAAAACATGTTCTCTAGATTACTTTTCTCTTACTTTGACACTTCTACTCTTTACTATTTTTATTTTTACTACTATTACAACCTGAGGGCACAGTAACTAGTCTTTTAGTTAGGATGGCTGTGTTTACAGTTTAGACATCATCCAACAAAAATGTGAGCCTATTTACTGTAATTGTGCCTCTTTGCTCATGTGTGACAGTAATTTAATTTTATTACTGTATAAAGACATTAGCACAGCACCTTGTGCATGGCTTCAGGTGAAACTTTCATTCAAGCTAAAAAGCATTTGTGTAGTTTTAGAAGTATTTTCTTATTCTAACAAATTTAAAAGTTCCATTATTAGTTAACAACTTCAAATGAAACCCAAACAGTAAATGCCACATCAATCCATTGTTTTTCTATTTAAAGGTTGGAATTGTAATGGTTAATGGTTTCATATGTATTTACCTTCCAGGTTTTTACATCAAATGAAAGATTACACACACTTTGGCCTCTCATTAGTCGGCAAAGGTTTTAATATGTTATCTCCAATTTCTGTGCAGTGCACATGTATTGAAATATCATAAATAACTGAAACCAGATATAATAATGCTGCAATAAATGCAATGTCAAAAACTCATCACAGGAAAAGTAGATGGCTATGAAATAAATAAGGACTCATTCATAGTGGTATTCGTTCATTTAATAAACAGCTAAGTACAGTACTTCATAATGCAAGCAACATGCTTGTGCACATCTTCTAATGGAGTCGCTCTGTTGTGCCTAAAATTATTATTTTTATTAATTAAGTCAACATTAAAACACAAAAACAATTCTCAGAAGCTTATCTGTATTTAATGTTAATCTATAGTTAGTATTTAAAGAATGTATGTCTCTCTCTGTCTATCTATCTATCTATCTATCTATCTATCTATCCTCATTTCTTACTATAGGACAAGAAGGCCTGAGGTAGCGAGGTGGTTCATTTCTTCACAATAAGCCACATAACCTCAGTCAGGAAAGTGCAAGAGGAGCATTCTCAGTGTGGTGAAAAATATATAGTATATATCAGGAGCACAGCAGAACATTTAATAGAGAAGTCACTGCTTTGGACAGTGTGTACTCTAAACCTGAGCCTTGGAGTTCCCTGTTGGAAATAACTAGCTTTATTTATTTGTCTCTATTAACCTGTAGGATAGGAACTATACAGTGCTGTGACACAGTTTGCAGGGTCTTTTCACAGTTTGTGCATGAAAAGAAAAGAAGAACCATCTATTAATGTCCTTCTTTCTTCCCCCCCGTCCATCCATCAGAACAAGTGGTATCCTGAGCAGCACTGCACTCTGTCTCTTTTCAGTTTCTTCTCTTTCATTCTTCTGTTCTGGAACCAGACTTTCACCTGTCTGAGTCAGCAAAGAATAAAACAGAAGCACTGAGAGTTCATTTTATGATTATCAGCATGCAAAATGCAATGATTCTGCATCAGCAGGTTGCATTTACAGTGTTCATCAGCAGCATGTTTGGATTGGTTTCACCTACAGTGCATGCAAATCAAGATGACTAGTGACATTTAAAAACTAAAATAAAGTGGTTAAGGAATACCAATTAATCTGCCAATTTGTTAATAAATCAATTCATTATTTGGTGAAAAATGCCCATCAAAAGTTCTCAGTTTGGTCACTTTCACACTGGGAAACTGTGTCCAAACATTTGGACTGGTGGTGTCTTCAGTCTAATGATATACAACAGAAGGAACCAGAAAAGCCTCATTAGAGAAACTGGAACCACAGAATGCTTCATGTTTTTGCACAAGACACAGAGCACCTGTTCCTGTCTTCTAAATATTTAGAGATTAGAGTTTGCTTTCTCCTCAACTATATTGCAGCTATGCAACTTGGAGACTCCTCACTGGAACCAGTCTCAGCACTGGCCTGTCTTCACTGATTACCAGTGAAGAGCAGAATAGATTTGTATTTGTTTATGAAGCAGTGCATGGTTTATCACCAGGCTACATCTCTGAACTCCTCACGGTCCAATCCACCTCCAGACCCCCTGGACAGTTAGAGCTTCATCCTCCACTGAAATCTTTTAAAACCCATTCTATGACCCTTTTTTTTTTTTTAGACTTTTAATTATTTTTTGTCAGAAATGTCATACCCTTATCAATTTTATATGCTCTTATGTTTTGTTTTATTCGATTGTAATTATCAATCCAATGATCTACTAATGTCCTTTGCACTTTGCAACACTGCAGTGTTTAGGGCAATGCGGCTGCTTCACTGCGCCCACAAGCTCCTGGTGAGTGGAGTAACAAGTATGGCTGTCACAAGCCATATGTTAAATGTGTTTCTCTGCCCAGGTATAGCTGTGCTCCAGCATCCCAGGCGGCAGCTCGTATTTTACACCTCTTTTGTTAAGTGAGGTAGTTAATCAGAACTTGCATCGGACGTGATCATTAATACAATAAATCCGTGAAGTAAATATTACAGCATGCACACACCGATCTGTCAGGTGCAGAAGGCGGGACAGCTGCATACGTCTGTCCTTGTTGATGTAAGTGTTGAACAGAAACGCTCTCTCCAGCTCTGTGGTCTGCTGTTTGGAGTAAGGACAGCGCTTCCTCTTCTTCACACAGGGTCCTGCTGGAGAAAGGGTAAAAAATTAAACCAAGGGGGGGACAAGGCAATGACCTGACAGATGAAATAAAAGAATATAACTAGTGTAGCGCTAATACATAATAAAATGTCCATCCAGTAAAATGACGTGGCAGCCAATCTAATCACCAACGGAGATAAGCACCAAGTGACTTACAAAAATAAATCTCATGTAAATCTCAGTGAGCTGAATTCATTTTAACGTTTAATTTAAGGTAAATGTCAAAGTCAAAACGCTGAGTTCAAGACATGTCCTTCATGCTGCTTTGCTGAAGTCACGGACTATTTAATGTAGAGCTATCATCAATTTAGAATTAATTAAAATACGAGGTAAGAGGGGAGACAGACTATTGTTACGGGCTATGTGGCCATTAAATGCACTCATTTGGTTTACGAAAAGGAGGAAATTACAATGACTTTATTTAACTTGTGACACTAATTCGTATCCTCACTTTGAAAATACGCATGAATGAATCTAATAAAGTAGGAAACACTGAGAACTGGGGTATAGTACAATATCAATTAACTGTTGGTCTGTTTTGTAGCTCAACAAAGGCCAAGAAATGGCCTCTGATCAGTTTGGGCCTAATTTGGCAGCCTTTTACGTGCCGACATTTTCAGTCCGTTTATGCAAACCAGCCCGTAAAGTGTAGGCCTTTCTCTGGACTCTCTCCCTGTCAACAAAGCGCATCGCTCCAGAAACTAATGTCGGGGTTTTCAAAGCTCTCGTCCAGGCCAGGTCTTCTCATTTAGGAACTAAACTAATGATTATTAAATTTCCACTTACGCGGGGAAAGACCGCAGGCTCCCCCACCACCGCCGGACAACGGCGTCTCGTCCTCTTTCCCCGCCTGGGGCGACTCTGACCCCGCCCTCCCCTCGCTGCTGTCCCCGCTGTGACAGCCCGTCCACCTGGTCCGATTCGTCTCTTTCTCCTCTTGGCTCCCAGTTGTAACGCCCGTTTCCCGATCTGCTCTTTCCTGTGAGTACTCGATAAATTGGTCCAAAGCAGGCGGCAGGATTCTGCCCCGGCCCGCCGGAAAGATGAGCTGTGAGTCCCTGTTGTACGCGGTGTTTTTGCCGGGGAAACTCCGCGGGTCCCCGGGAAACGCCTGTGCGTAAAAACGGGGATCAGACGCGCAGTAACCTGCCCCTCCATACAGAAAGCAGTCATTACTGGTGTTGAATAACGTGTCCGACGGGGATGGTAAGCCGTGGTACTCGTGATAAGCAGCTTTCCCCGGCAAGTGAAAGCAGGATGGCGGCGGAGAGGTGATGGGGTAGGTCCATTTCTGTCGGTGCTCATGGTAACAGCAGCCCCGGTACTCCGACAGGCTTCTGGCTGATGCGGTGCTACGGTCCAGCAAAACGGTGCTGTTGTCCGTCAAAAGCGATGGAGTGATGGAGCCAAAGTCAGACTTTGACGGATAGGGGCAGCTTGGTAAATACATGGATAATGAAAGTGCTTCAGATCAAGTTGTGGTTTGGTTGATGAGCAAACAAAACATGGGTATTGCTCTATTTCCGCACGGGGCGCAGCAAATTAATTGTTATCCTATAGCCCCATATATAGCTATTATAATCTAAAGGCGATGTAAACCTAGCTCTGTATAAGCCCTGAAAGTTAAAACAAAGACATAAATAGGTAAAACAAAGCCCAACTCCACATCTCTTCATTCCCCCCAAGTCCACAATGAAACCAGAAAGTGAGAATAACATCGTATTTGACCTTGAGCCTGCCCGAGCCTGGTCTGCTGAGTACCATCATGTCAGCCTAAGGCTGGGCTGCATGCTTATGCATTCAGGCCATGTCAAATCCAGGCCAGCCCTAAACACGTACACACACAAAACTACACTAACCACAACATGTTCAGTCTAACATGCTCTATAAAACATAAAGAAATTACCAGGGGACTTGATAGTGTTGTGTATTACATACAGCCTATAATAAAATTGCTTTCCAAGTACAAACATTCCTCTTGCATAGAGTGATTCTCTGTGGGTGTGTGGAAGTCATGAGACTCCTTCAATACTTTCCACATCTCATGTCCAAAGCACATTTCTTAGAATGAAAAGGAAAGGAACTGAGTCTTGCAGGATTTCAAAGCTCATTTGGACATTTATGCAGGAGGCTTAGTCGGGGCTCAATGTTCTTGATAAAAACCCAGAAAGAGTATTTTTAAAAGGTTTTTATCTTCAGCAGTCATTCATATTGTTCTCTGTGCCTAGGCTGGTCCACCTGAAGGAAAACATGTCAGCCGGTCAGAGATGGGACAATAAACTCTGCTTAGTCTTTTTGGTTTGTTAACTTTTTTTACTGATATACTGTGGCATACTGTACCTGTTCCATTGTCAGCCCAGCGTCTTGCTAACCCGTTTATTAAGCCTGAAAGTATTGCTGTTTTTCTTAACTTTAATGTGTGTGACGCATTAAATGTTTAATATTGGTAACACCAAGCTGATTATTATTTGGAAGAGAAACTGTACATCTTGGCCATTTGCTTATGAAGTAGGTACGGTATCTAAGAGCTCTGTAAATGGGAAAACCTTGTGCCGTGAAGGGATTATCATTATTGCAAATCCTTTCACTCATCATGAGGCCTTTTCACTGAAACTCATCAGTGTGTTGTCCTGCTTGGAAAGATCACTAACACCTAGTAATGTCCAGAGTTATCTTTTTGATGTTCTTGTTGTACATATAGCCCACATAATGGCCTTTGAGCAGCCTGTGTGCACTGCTGATTATGTAAAGATGTTGATGAGCAAAAGAAGTGCACTGACTGAAACAGAAACATAAAGCATTTGTCAGTAAGGCTGATTAGTCTCTTAACATGCACATAGAAACACACACAGGCTCAGGTAAACACCTACTAGATGCGGCTACAATATATTTTATTAATAAAAAGAGTTAAAACAACAGTCCAGGCTCAAGGCAGACTGCTGCCACCCAAAAATCTATTCTTATGAATAAAGTATATTAATATAATAAAAGGCTGCTGGGCTCTCTCTCTCTCCTCTCACCCTCTGTAGCCTGTACATCCACTGTGTTGTGTTGTGTTGGAGATGTAAATCATGGCCTGAAGTGGCTTTTTAATGTACAGGACTACACACCTCTGTCATGAAATATAATGCATACTGTTAGCTTTATGTTAATTTTGGATAAATTCAGTGTCCAGAGGTAGAAAGTACGTAACTATACATTTACTCAAATACTTTATAATTTTGACTTTACTTGAGTATTTTTAATTTTCTGCTAGTTCATACTTTGACTTAACTACATTTTTAGGTGAATATTGTACTTTTACTGCACATGTACTTGATCACTTTAGTTATTTTTCAGAATCAGAAGATAAGACCTTATTGAAACCCAGTGGGAAATTCACAAACCACTCAGCAGTTAAAACGATCTCCACCTTTACCAGCTGCAACATTAAATGTGGTGTATCACTAATCTAATATGATATGCATATTGGTGTGAAATGCACTGTTCTGCATAATGACTACTTTTACTTTTGGTACTTTAAGTATATTTTGATGCTACTACTTCTGTATTTTTACTTAAATAACGTTTTGAATGCAGGGCCTCTGATTGTGACACTGCTTTAAATTGTGGTACTGCTACAATCTGAGAACTTCTGCCATTGCTGTCAGTGTCCTGCTATTGTTCATTTGGGGTCTTAGTCACACTGTCACACCTTTAGTATCTTTAAGTATCACCACCATTAACAGCAACATGACAAGTCTACTGTGAAAAAGGCCAGACTTCTTTGCTAAACAGTGTCTTGGATATGGTGATATTTGGATGTCATCTTGTTGTAATATGCAGCCCCACACTGTCTCTGCCGGTGCCTGGTGGACTGTTACCCTCCAGATTTCTCCATCAGTGGTTTGCACAGCTAAGCCACCGGTGGTAACCTCGTCTTCTTCTGCAGGCTGACATGGCCTTTTTAAAATGGCCTCCACACCCTCAGGAGAGGACATGAATGAGAGTGTCTCTCACCTCACAGGTGCTGACATATGGTTCTCTAACCAACCAGTGGTGAATATAAACGATTTTCACAACTGATAAAATTCAAAATGACTGCTTTCCATTTAGATGAGCTGGTTCCAGGTGCATCCTGGCTCACTATCTTACTGTGGCACTTGACTGAGCCATTGTTAAACCTGTGCATTCATGCTGACAAATCAAAACATCTGCCATAAAAGAAGGTGTACTACACACACTCAAGAGCTACAGTGACTCCAGGTAATCACAGTACTGTGTATTCTTTATGTCTGCCCATTTTAGCTTGGTGGTTTTGGTTCTGATTACACCTCTACACCTCATAAATAAATACAATTTGCATAGTCAAAACATTTAGTACTAACAGTGAACAAACCAAGGTCATACACACACACACACACACCTTAGTGATGGGTGGGATTTTCCGGTTTATTGCATATGTCTAATTAAAAGATTTGGGTTAATCCTTAGCACAGAGCATCTGGATGTCCAGGCAGTGTCCAAGAGGAAAGGTCATCTTTTACAACAGCCCTTTCTTCTGCTTTTGATCGCATGTTGCTTTGACATTCAGCAAATATGCGGCTTGTTGGTAACCGACATTTCATGTGCGCTAGGGTCTATCAGGTTATGTAGTTTTAAATTAACATGCCAGCAAAATTAAAAGTCTATGCAAAGTGGGGAAAAGGCTCGCAGTTATTTTCCAGTTAGCTTCGTGCTTTGCACTGTAGGAGCCACAGAGAACGAATGAAGCCAAGGTAAAATCACATGTAATAAAAAAAAAACGTAGCTAGAAATGTAGCTAATCCTGAACAAACCGGATTTAAACCTGAATGGCGTTTTCACTTGCGTCGAAATAAAATGAGAAGTGAGAAAGATTAGCGTCCTTTGTTAATCTTAAAGAAATAAGACCTTGGGCTCCGTCGAAACTATTTTCCGTATATCCTGGTGGATACTGACAAAAGGATAACTACAGTATATTTTATTGTTCATTTGTTTGGTTTTTTACTTATTTGTTTCTTTATATAGACTAAATGTAGTAGTACCTATACGTATTGGTAAAAGAGTTTCACTAAAACGCACATCCACGACATTTGAACCTGTCCTGAAATTGGTTTCCCTGTTCAAATAAAAATATATTATTAAATGAACCATAGCCTTCATGCCGAGCTGTCGTACATAAATACAATGTGCAAATAATGTGAATTTTGTAAGAGAAGGGCCTATAAATCAGGCCTATATATAAGACTTTTTAATCCAGTATTATTTTATTAAATGTAAAGCTCCAGTATAGACCAGTGTAACACTGACTGTAATAACGGCAGTAGGCGAGAATCACGTTTTGTTCATGTAAAATGGACGAATCGAAAGTTTGTTTTTGCCTTAGAATCCAATGCACTATATTCCAGAAAGTCAGAAAGAGAATTCAATGAAGGGGACAAACAAAAATAGAGAATGCACCGAAATAAAAATGATCATATATCTTCAGTAGTGAACTGAATGTGAA